AGAGAGAGAGAGACAGAGAGACAGACTGCAGATAGACAATAGACAGATAGATAGATAGATAGATAGATAGATAGATAGATAGATAGATAGATAGATAGATAGATAGATAGATAGATATAGATAGATAGATAGATAGATAGATAGATAGATAGATAGATAGATAGATAGATATAGATAGATAGATAGATAGATACTGAAGGTAGGTAGATAGATAGATAGATAGATAGATAGATAGATAGATAGATAGATAGATAGATAGATAGATAGATAGATAGATAGATAGATAGATAGATAGATAGATAGATAGATAGATAGATAGATAGATAGATAGATAGATAGATAGATAGATAGATAGATAGATAGATAGATAGATACTGAGAGATAGATAGATAGATAGATAGATAGATAGATAGATAGATAGATAGATAGATAGATAGATAGATAGATAGGTAGATAGATAGATAGATAGATAGATAGATAGATAGATAGATAGATAGATAGATAGATAGATAGATAGATATTGCAGGTATAGATATTGATAGATAGATAGATAGATAGATAGATAGATAGATAGATAGATAGATATAGATAGATAGATAGATAGATAGCAGATAGATAGATAGATAGATAGATAGATAGATAGATAGATAGATAGATAGATAGAGAAAGATAGAAATAGAAGATAGATAGAGAAGATAGAAAGATAGAAGATAGATAGATAGAGATAGAAGATAGATAGATAGATAGACAGACAGATAGACAGACAGATAGATAGACAGACAGACAGACAGACAGATAGATAGATAGATAGATAGATAGATAGATAGATAGATAGATAGATAGATAGATAGATAGATATTGAGATAGATAGATAGATAGATAGATAGATAGATAGATAGATAGATAGATAGATAGATAGATAGATAGGAGAAGAATGAAAGGGAGAATTAGACAGATGGGAGGAAAGAAGAAAAGATTTAATAACTGTATTTAAATCCAGTTCTTCAAAAACCTAGAAAGCACCCTATGAATATATACGGATAATTGCTCCATTCTGAAATGGTCCTGCTCTTAACACCTCCACTACTAAACGTCCCTGCAGAGATGATACCTTGTGAAGGATTAAAGTGTGTGGGTATGGCCCCTGAAGGTGGATTCTAATTGAAATATCTATGTTTGTTGTCGCTGCCCCCTGCTTGTCTGATATGTGAACACAGCATGGCTGCTTCACTTCATGTCAAGATCGTTAGAATGGCTGAGCGTTTGCAGCAAGGAAAGAACTGTTCAAGATCCAAACCTCCATTTTACCTCCTATTTCTTGCAAAAAAAAGAGAGAAAAAACCCTCCTGTTTCCAAGCTCTGTGCACACAGTGTAATAATAAGAGGATTTAGAGTTAGATTGCTTTCAAGTCATTTAAACCACTGCAAGCAGTCAGTTATCCATGCGTAGATAGGTTAACAAACCGTTTTCTTATCACAGGGCATAAAGAACAGCAATTGCATTATCTTATTTGTGGTAATGAATTCACAGAACATTTGCCAGCCTTTGTAATTCCAAGAAAAAAAATGATAATGGCATATAAAGCAGCATGGGTGGGTCATTTTAGGCTAACTTTTTTTAAGCACAGAGCAAACCAAATTCAGTACATTGTAGTAGTAGAACTCTGATATAAAGTACACAAGAAGGAAGAGAAAACTTTACACTCTGGGCAAAAACTATTTTTTACTGTATCTCCCACCCTCTTTCTACACCTCTTACCTGGTTAAAGCAGGCATACTCACCTAAGTGACCCGTCTATATCCCTTACTGCTGCCAGTTCCAGCGTCATATGATTGCATCTTCAAGTAAATTAAAAAAGGGATTTAGCTTTATTTATTCTGTTAGAGTGGGAGTGGGGTTTTAAAAGGTAATAAAGTGTGCTTTCAGTGAATGCATAGTCTGACTCAGATTTTTAGTCCTTACCTCTAGGCTCCCCCCAAAAAAATTAAAAGTCATTAGCTGCTGACTTTTAATTTAAGGGCACTTACCTGTCCAGGGATCCAGCAATGTCCTCACTCAGGCCAATTCTTCAATCAGCTTTGGGTGCAGGTGCCGGCTTCTTCAGTAAGGGTAAATGGCAGTGAAGCCTAGCGGCTTCACAGCCGGTTTCATACTGAGCATGTGTGAAGCACACTGTGCTTTGTGAATGGTCCCTTAGTCTTCTGGGAACTGTGAAGTAGGCTGTTGAGGAAGGACAAACTTCAAAAACAGGTACCCGCTTCTCCCTCCACCCCAAAAAAGTGCCAAATGGGGCAGTGGAGGTGGGGAGGAAGGTGTAAACAAGTGGAACGTCCTCTTTTCGGTGAAGTTACGCTTTAAAGAGATGTTTGATTTTTACATTAATACACGCATCTTCTTCCATATTTTTGTTACAATTTAAATACAGAAATGTGTACATTGGTCACTAGATGGAGCTCTCAGTGATGTAGAATTGCTCCTCAAATGCTGAGATAAGATATCAGCCACACATATCAATCCCAGGTCATTGGATATACATCATGAGATGGAGCAGTAAAGGACAATGGGATTGATTTACTAAAGGCAAATAGACCATGCACTTTGAAAAGTGCAGTTTCTCCAGAACTTAGTAAATGAGGCAAATCTACACTTTGCAAAGAATACCAAATTACTTGCAAGGAAAATTAAAAAAAATAGCATTTTGCTTGCAAATGATTGGATGATGGAAGTCAGCAGAGCTTCTGCTTATTTACTAAGCTCTGGAGCGACTGTACTTTGAGAATGCTGCAAAGCAGTAAGCATAGTACTGGTATGTAATAAGCAAGTACAGCTATCCATAAGTACATGTAAAATTACATGTAAATGCAAAAACAAGTTTTTTAAAACATTAAAATGATATTAAAGCTTATATTTTTATAAGTTATTTCAGATGCTCGGAATTGTATTGTAACTCTTCTCTGTTCCTTTATTATTATAATAATATATATTATTATAATATAATATTTATATTATTATAAAGTGCTACACAAACTGTTGGGACTATCTACATTTTAAATAATAATAACCAACTTTGCTGCTCCTTCTTGTATATCCCCTTCCTATCCATGCAGAATTAGCTAGTCTTCTGGGCACTGTTCTTAAAATTCATTTTTAGGGTGGCTCCTTTACCTTACAGGGTCGCATGGAACCATCTGTAAATGCATGCTCCTGGTTGGAATTATGGATGAGTCTCCGTGTATCCACCTAAAGAGATAGAATCAAAAAACTCTTTCTTCCTCCCCCTGAAAGAAGCCTGTGTGATTCATAGGTGTTCTTAAAATTCAATTTTTAGGGTGGTGGCTCCTTTACCTTACAGGGTCACATGGAACCATCTGTAAATGCATGCTCCTGTTTGGCACTATGGATGAGTCTCCTTGTATCCACCTAAAGAGATAGAACCAAAAAACTCTTTCTTCCTCCCTTTGCAAGAAGCCTGTGTGATTCATAGTGTGAACCTAGGCTTAAAGTCAATGTTAGGGTTAAAAAAAAAATCAACTTTTTTTTTTACTTAAGAACATATCTGACAATAATATGCACATGTGTGGTATTACTGCGATTGTCAGGACAGAAGAATTTATTTTTTTTTTTTGTTCTTTTGGGTTTTTTTTGGGAGAGGTTATGGTAATAGCAAAAAATGTAAAGCTACCTTAAAAAAAAAAATTTTTAATTATTATTTTGTGCCCGATTTCCTTTGATAATTAAAAAAATCAGATGCTATCCATTACATTTTACCACCAAATGAAAGCCCAATTTGTCCTGAAAAAAATGAGGTATAATTCACCTGGATTCACTAAGTAGTTGTGATGATACATACAGTTTTACTAACACATGTCAAAGTTGCAAAACTGTGTTCTAGGTGTTAAAGCGGAACTCATCTGCCATATTTCTTTTTCTTTTTATTAGGTGGAGTTCAGGTACCTAGCTTTGACAGGTACACACTCATACTTCCCGTCAGACTGCCTAGGCCATCGGAGCAAATACACTAGTATTTGATAACATAGCGTGGCTCCTCCATGTGCAATGAGAAGGTGACTGCAAAGCTACAAGGAGTTAACATAGAGGCACCGGGGACCTGAAGTTGGGCAGAGAACTTGTTGAGGTGAGGACAGTCCTGGGTCCCTGGACAGGAAAGTGTCTGTTTATTAAAAGTCAGCAGCTACAGTTTTTGTAGCTGTTGACTTTGAATTTCTGGAAACATGACCGAAGCTCCTCTTTAAGATTAGTTTTACCTTCTGTCATGAAGGGGTTAAAGATCATCGCAGTTCCTAGAAGATAGTGAATGGATCTTTACATGCGAAAACATAAAATATACAAATGATAGGGTTGATTTACTAATAGTGCACTGTGTTTCCCTCAATCATCCAGTCATAGGCAAGCAAAATTTTTTGTTTTTCTGTTTCACGTGTTTTTCTCCGTAGACACATTTGGCAATATTTGGGAAATGACTTGTCACTGGGTACAACGAGCCTGATGGGGACCTAAAAGACTAGTTCTGCATCAGGTCTGCTTTATTTTTGATTGCCAGCACACAGCAGTAGATGGATTTTAGACAGACAGAGCTTTCTGGTGGTATTTAATCACCACTGGGTTTTTTTTTTATTTTTTGCTAAACAAACAAAAAAGAAAAAAACATTTTGAAAAAAAAAAATTAAGTTTCATGTTATAACATTTTGCAAATAAGCAATTTTTCTTCTTCACTGGAATGCTCTGATGAGGCTGCACTTATGGGCACTGATAGGCTGCACTGATGGGCACTGATGACGCTGCACTGGTGCGTATTGATGAGGCTGCACTTATGGGCATTGATGAGGCTGCACTGATGGGCACTGATGACGCTGCACTTGTGCGTATTGATGAGGCTGCACTGATGGGCACTGATGACGCTGCACTTGTGCGTATTGACGAGGCTGCACTGATGGGCATTGATGAGGCTGCACTGATGGGCATTAATGAGGCTGCACTGATGGGCATTGATGAGGCTGCACTGATGGGCACTGATAACACTGCACTGATGGGCACTGGTGAGGCTGCACTGATTGATACTGATGAGGCTAAACTGATGAGGCGGCACTGTTGGCACTGATGAGGTGGCACTGATGGGCAGTGATGAGCAGGCACTGATGAGGCTGCACTGATAAGGTGGCACTGATGGACACTGATAGGCAGCACTGATAGGTGGCACCGATGGGCACTTATAGGTGGCACTGATATGCTGCACTGATGGGCACAGATTGGCACTGATAGGGCTGCACTGATGATCAGGGCACTGATGATCAGTGCTCTTATTATCATTTTTAAACCTTGTACTGACAGTCTTGCCAGTAATTGGCTTTCCTTTCCTCACATAGACACAACATGTAAGAAAAGAACTACTGATAACCAGCAAGTCTGTTTACATGTGACCAGTAGTGATTGGACACAGCTGATCACATGGTAAAGGGCCATAGTGAGTGACCCTTTACCTCTATCTGTGATCACCTGTGTCCAAGGGTTACAGCGATCACAGAGCGTACCCGACACATGCCTCGGGGGTGTGCAGGTGGTGGGGTTCTTCTTTTTTTTTTTCAGGGAATGTTTGACAACATTTTATTCATGTTTAACTGCCGTGAAAAAATAGAACCTTGTACGAGTGCCATGGTCTAACATACATCCAGTCAGTATCTATAATATATACTTTTTTTTTCCTCCCCATTTCGCTTTGACTATTTTAATTAGTTTTCCTTTATGTTTAAGTGCAGGAAATCGAATATCATATTAGTCTCTGAAATAAAGGTTGCACGCGCTGTAGCATCAATGTTTTAATTCATCTATGCCTGGGTCACCCATACACTACTGTACAGCCATTTTGTTTGCTGCGCTAAAATACAATGCAGCCAATCTGTCTACACAGGACCATTAAGCCTAGAGGGCTTTAGTCTCCATGTACTCAGAATGCTGCCTCTTGAATAACCAAAATGTCTGTTTCCAATGTATGTAGGGCGAGAAGTACTTCAAACATTGCCGAGTAACCATTTCAGTGCCAAGAGAGGGGCTTGCTACAAGCCACAGAGAGAACACAATATGCGTAGTAGTGTTGCACCTCCTGGATGCAGGAAGGAGTCATTTCACATTCGGAGTTCTTTTTTCTTCTTTGGCACGTTTTAGGGACAGGGTTGCTTTTAAATCCCTTGGGTAGAGGGAAAGTGGGGAAAGTGGGCACCCCCCCCCCCCCAAGTTTTCCAAATTTCTGTTGTATTACTTAAAAATCTGCCGGTCTGATTCACCAGATCGATCGAAAATGTAGATTTACGCTACAGGCTTTAGTTTTACTACGGGACTAAACGTCCTAGCCAGTGTTTCCCTTAACTGCTTCCCTGCCAGAAACACCTGTGTTGTGCAAGTCTCTGGAAGAAAAACAGTTAAAAAATTAAATAGCCTAGAGAAACAGACCTTAATGTTGAAATCTAGAAATTTGTGCCTTGTGCACCTGGAAAAAAAATGCTCCTCCTGATGGTACCAGAAGCTTTTTGGAACACTGAACATCTTTTCTTCTGAACCAGAATAAACTGTATGAAGCTCAGATTGTAGACACTGCTAAACCTCTGTACTCACACACACTCACTCTGAGAATCCTTTCTCTCAGATCCCCTTGCACTAAGGTGATAGGCAATGCAGCAACAGACCACGGCTGCGTATCTTTATACAGCAACTAGCATTGGAGAAAAAAAAAAAAGAAAGAAAGAAAAAAAAAAACAGATGTAACAATGAACTATAATATAAAGTTACACCAGTCAATTCTGCTCTGCCCTGGCCACAAGGCAGTGGTGCAAGCAGACATAGAATTGGTGAAGACCCACAGGCCCTTGCTCCTCTCAGCTGGTGGGTGTGGACAAAGTGACAGCTCTCACCCCCTTTCACCCAGGAAGTCTGCTCTTCTCACAGCACTGCTGTGGTCGTGTTTATGCATGTAGTATGTTTGAAGCTTCACTCAGTCACTCTCTCACTCTCAAACATTCAGTAACCGCTCACACTTCTCGCTTATATAATTTTTTTTTTTTCAAAGCTTCACCCAGCCGTTATGGTCAGGCTTGATTTTTTAGCTTTCGTAGTTCCTTGGTGGCCCAGCTAGCAAGTGTTTTTGGATTGTTCCTCTTTGATCGTCTACTCTCTGTTAGCAAGTCATGGATCATTGGGAGAGTTTCCACAAACTTTACCACGTCCTTTCCAAATGCTGTGCATAAATCTCCAATAAGGCAAGCCCCATAAATGACAGGATAAACTCCACTTGTGGCTGTACTAGCATCCAGGGGCGGACTGACCATTTGGAAACTTGGGCACTGCCTGAGGGCCCGGGGTCAGTAGGGGGCCCCATGAGATGCCCCTGGTACCTTTTTCATAGGCTTTTTTGAGTTTGGGCAAGGACAAAGGGGCCCCATGATCCCCTATTTCCCAGGGGCCCCATGAGTTGTCAGTCCGCCCCTGCTAGCATCACATCAGAGTGCACATTCTCCTGGTCTCCTTTGAGTCCCTGGATGATTCCAGTATAGGCCTCAAGACAGCCCTCACTCAGCTCATTTAGGTAATCCACCATGTCATAATCTGTGGCTTTACAGAGCAGTGAACATTCTCATTCCCCAGATTCTCTACAAGCTGTTGCATAATCTCATCACAGAATGGTAATATGTTTTTTTTTGCAGAACCCGCCATAGGTCTCCTACAGGCCCAACAGCAGCCAGGCACACCTGATACTCTGTATACTTCTTGAGGCCAATGACAAGAAAAGGTTTAAATGCCTCCATGTTCTTCAGAAATTCTGCTCCAAACACTTCTACCAGAGTGCTCACTGCTATTAGGGCATCTTCTTGTACCCCTCCTGAACCAGCTGTACTGTGAAACATGCGTAGCATGGAAGCCATCACTACATCAAATATCTGAAGTGCATCTTGGGGAGAAGAGACTGCATATCGTTGAATTAGGTCCTCTCTGATGTACTCTGTATGTGGGACTCCAACTGAAGCACTTACTGTAGTCTCTCCATTATCACTAGTGTGGTTTTCTGAACAGCAGGGTAGCAGCCCTTTGCACTATTCTTGACTATTTCACTTAGAGTTTCATAGTCAGCACTTCGTAGGTTGTTCTGGTGTCCATCAGACTTGTCCATGGTCTCCAGCAGATTCTGCACAATGACCTCAAAGGAGCTGGACAAACAGTAGGAGGCTGGCTCTTCCTGGTCATCAGTAACAACCGCAGCTTCATAAGCAGCTTCAGCCAAACTGGTGAAGGGCCAGCACATGTTAGTAGCCACTCTGGGTTCAGCCCCCAGCCCCTCAATGAGGCACTGAAGTAAAGGAACGAGGTAAACATCATTGATTGCTGCCTCTGGGAGTAGCTCACATATCCAGCCAACCGTCCAGCCACAACACTGTGGTCTTTTTACTGGTCACATCCAGTAAAATGCAGGCACTGTTTTAGCACCAGCAGCCAGAATACAATAGCCTGAATCGGGTGATTCCTCCATCTATGCAGTTTGAACACTGAACAAAAGAAATCTATGGATTAAAGTGAATCTAAAGATAGAATTCATTCTCTATACTAGGGTAAAAAACCTTCTCCATGCAGCTAAGGTAACAACACACCAAACGCAGGTCACAAACGCAGCGCATTTACCTGCACCCAATTCCATAGTACAAAAGTACCTTGTAATCCGGTTGCAGTGGGTTTCCAAAATTAGTGCAAGCACTACTTTTGGTGCAATGCAGTGTGATCTGAGCCAATTCAAAATGAATGAGCTCAAATCACACCAGACTGAATCGCATGTGACTTGAACGAGAATGCGCAGAGTGTGAACCAGGGCTAACAAATGAAAGCCAAAGTGCAGCTCACACTTAATAAGCAGTTACTGCAAACAGTTTTTTTTCTTTTGGGATAAAGATTTTACATAAATAAAAGTTAATCATTGTAAGCAACTCTGTCAGTGGTAAATGGTTTGTTTCAACCCTCTAACTGTCACTTTTGCTGGACAGCTTGATCTGTTAAAGGGAGTTAAAATATAACAGACTTATTGGACAAATCAGCAGGTGAAACTAATGCAGCCACATATCTAAGTAATGTAAGATGCAACATATAACCTTTTTGTTATTGGGTTTAATAATGCTTTAAATAATTTGTTACCCCAACATTTCCTATTCCTAATATGTGCTTATTGTACCATGTAATTGTATGAAAACATATCCTGTTCTCTTTGTTTTGCTTCCTTTGCTTGAAATCTTTGGTGTTCCTGCTGTACCCTCTACTTTCCTTTTAAAAACTGATGACACTAGTCATGAAAGCACGGCTTGGTCAGTTCTCTAGCTATGCTGGGAACTCAGGCTGCTCTCTTCCAATGATCAGACTTGTCCTGACATCCCCACCTCCTTTGAACAGCCATTCACTCGGATGATCAGTGTCCTGCTGTTTCTCCTCCCTGAGCTCTTTATGCAGCAGAGAACAGAGGGTAAGTCATCACTTGTAAAAAAAGGGAAAAAAGTGTATATAATATTTTTTATATCTATACATAAATGTTTTACCTTTCATTTCTATTTTAAACTAAATGGGCTGTTTTACAAGGTAAGGGTTTACATATACTTTAAGTTAAATTCATTCTGTAAACAATCAAAGCACATCAAAAAAAGCCTATAAAAAGGTACCAGGGGCATTTCATGGGGCCCCCTACTGACCCCGGGCCCTCGGGCAGTGCCCGAGTGCTCGAATGGTCAGTCCGCCCCTGGGAGGGTGTCATATAACAACCTCCCAGAACCGCACCCCTCATGTGCCCACTGCTGTGGTCATCCGGCACTCTCTGTGATTGCTGTGTCCTTCGGAAACAGCTGATCATATGTCACAGTAAAGGGCTAATCACATCGGCCATTTACCAATCACAGCTTCTCAAGATATAAACACACTTGACGGTTATTTGCAGCACTTTCCTCACGCTGCGTGAGGATAGTACTGCTTATAACTGACGAGTGTGAAAGGAGACATCTACACTGATTATCAATGCAGC